ATGGACGCAGTGGGGGCATGCAGACTCACAGACTGTCAATGATCTCTCCTCACAGGCTGTAATGGGCTGCCGTGGTCTGTGTCCCCTCTGGCAGCTGCAGCTCCTTTTAACACCTAGAGCTGTTTTCAGTGGCCCCTAAACTGAGTAAGCACAAAAATGTGTGCTACATAAAATGGCACATTGATGGACTGCGAGAAATACAAGTCTCTATACAAAATTGGTATACAGATTAGAAAAAAACAAACCTTTTTTTACCCTACACTTCTTATTTCTGAAGCATTTGTAATTGTCCAGTTTTCAACCGCAATATGTGACAGCACTTCATAAAACTCTGCTGACCATAAAATGGCATTGGAACTTTTCTGTACATTGTATTTCTGTCAAGAAGACGCTCCTGAGCAGAACATGTCTGTGCAGTGTGTGCCGGCATGGCTGCTTGTAATCTCTACTGCAGGGGGGTACATAACCTTAGAACTCCAACTGTGCTGACTACAGATCCCATCATGCTTCTGGGAGTCATGTCTGTAGCGGGCAGAGTCTTGCAATGCCTTATGGGATTTGTAGTTCCACAGCACCGGGAGTGCCGAGGTTGCCCACCCCTGCTCTACTGAGAGTAGAGTGACAACGTAGGAGAACAATTGTGAGACAGGGACAAAGCGTTGGCACCCGATAACAAGAAGTATCTGAACAAGGACCTTCAGGTGAGGTTATAATAAAAGAAAAATGCAGATTTTTAAAAAAGGCCATTGGAAAGCACTTATCACTTAAATAAGAACTACAGGCAAAAAAATGTATTGTATATGCTGAGCATAAAAAGTCATGTCCATGTGTTTTCTTTCATTCTGTTCTACCCTCCGTGAAATAGAAAATGAACCTGTTGATGCTGCCAAACCTCTCTTTTGTCTCTTCCTTTGCAAGGGGACCAGTGCTAGACCCCCTTCAGAAATAATGACAGGTTGTCTGCCTCACGTCGGCTATGTCCATAAGGACTATAGGGTGACAAGCAGACAAAGGAAGGGGGCAATAATAATCCTTTTCTAACTATACAGTACATAATAAGTAGGGATGCACCGATAAAAAAATTTCGGTACTCGCCGATACCAATTACCGAGTACCGGAAGTCCCATTCAGGAAGCCAGGACTCGCCACCTGATTAGCCAGGAAGCCGGGCAGTGTGTAAAGACTCGCCACCCAGCTTCCCGATTACGGTAACAAGAAAGCCATACGAATCCCCATAGTAATAATAAGATCCAGCATGTCTCTGCAGTGCAGGTCTCTGTCCCCTCTCACCTCGGCATGTCCAGCCTGTCATCCCTGGGGCCTCTGCAGCCAGGAGTGGCCTTCCTCCGGTACCCAGCCGAAGCTGTCTTGCTGGCCAATCATGTAAGTCGGGTGCCGTGTAATGACGCGGCACCCTGCTTTCTGATTGGCCCGGAGGCTGGCTCCATGCTCCCTCGTCATGACATGATAAGGGAGCATGAAGCCGGTTTCCCGGCCAATCAGAATGCCTGGCGCTGAGTAATTACACGGTGTCCTGATTGGCCAGCTTCCCGACCAATCAATAAGCCGGCAGCGCGTCATTACACGAGTGACTAAAGCGTATGGAGCAGCTTCCCGGCCAATCAGGAAACCGGGCAGCATGTAATACAGGAAGTATCGGGCTAGGCATTGTAGCATTTGGGCGAGTACAAGTACTCGCCCAAATACTCGGTATCGGCACCGATATCGATACTAGTATCGGTGCATCCCTAATAATAGGTGCTAAATATAGCAAATTCTAAAAAACACAAAAAAAAGTCCCAGCAGCTTGCAAAAAAATGCTGCTATAACTGATAGAAAAGGCCCGCCCAGCCATGCCTGCCACTTGCAGCCTCCCAGGAGTCATGGCTGGTAAGCAGCCTATCAAATGCTCCCTATTGTATTAAACACAATGGGGCATGGATAATGTAGTTTATTCTGCTGCCTTCTCTTTATCCTGACATGACATGCAGGCTGGTGGATGGCCTAGAGTGGCCTAAACAAGTGGAGTTTTTCCCACAAAGGTAACTGTAAATGGCTTTATGCTTTCCATTGGCAATGTCATTTTAGGTGGTTAAGATATGACTTTAACCACTTCAAGACCAGGTGTTTAGACCCCTTTCCTGGCCAGGCCATTTTTCAGTACTCAGCACTGCGGTACTTTAATTGACGTTTATTCAGTCATGTAACGCTGTACTGAAAATGAATTTTATACCATTTTTTGGGGACAGATAGAGCTTTCTTATGGTGGTATTTAATCACCACTGGGGGTTTTATTTTTTACTATATTAAGGAAAAATGATTGAAAATTTTGGGGGAAAAAAAGTTTTTTTTTTTAAATTATATTAGGAAACAATGATTATTACCCATATTTTTGGTAAAATATAAAAGACGGGGTCACGTCGGGTAAATAGACACCAAACATGTCATGCTTTAAAATTGCGCGCACCCGCGAAATCGCAAAAAAACTACCATACCCAAAATTGACCATAGGCGACGCTTTAAAAGCTTTTACAGCTCATCAGTTTAGTGTTATCAGTGATTGATGGCTCTAGACTTATTGCTCTCACTCCGACGTTTGCGGCGATATGTAACATGTGCGGCGTAATGGGCGCAATCTTCGTTTTCGCACGTATGCGCACCCGACTCCTGTTTGCATGTGTGTATGTATGGGTGGGGACTTAAAAAAAGTTTGTTTTTTTTTCATTTGTAACTTTACATTTTTGGGGGAGGGAACTTAAATTTTTTTTTCCTATTTTTTTCCCCTTAACTTTATTGCTATCCCTTAGGGGGCTAAGAAAACCCCCTATGTGATAGCAAAAGATGTCACAGGTCCTCTTTATGGAGACATCAGGGGTCTCCAAGACCCCTAATGTCACCTAGGACCCCCCTGAAGAAGCTGATGAAGCACAGATCTGCTTCTCTCCAGCGTCTGAAGCTGGAGAGTGACACAAGAATGCAGAAGTGATGTAATATACACCACTTCTGCATTCTGACCGACCTCCCTCTGATCCCGTGACAGAGGCAGTATGCTGGTCCCGGGCTCGCACCGGGCACAGCG